TGACCACCTCTGAGAATTGTGACTAAAACAGCACAGGCTTGATTGGCTGCCCCTCACTGGAGCTTTTGTGTTGTGGCTGGTGGTCAGACATTGTGAATTTCTCTAATTTGGGAAGGAACCAAGCAGATGTTCACCCTCCAACTATCTTGGTGTGTGTCTTGCTAATCTGCCCCTGACAGTGAGGCAGGAACACACACAGACACATGCAAACATACAAATACAAACACACATACACACACACACACACAACGACCTGACTTTGGTTTGCCCCAGCACCCTGAGCAATGAGTTAGGCTGTTTATTGTCCTGCCCCCTCTATGTCCTGGGGAAGATTTTAGAAATTCTAATACAGGAGACTGAGAAAGGAAAATATTGGTTTCTACAGTACAAACATCTCTGTCCTGAAAGAAAATGTTAATTTTCCCCTAAATCAAATGTTGACATACATCAGCTGCCACTAAAGATGTGTCACTGCGGGAGAAGTTCTCTGCTCCGGAGCGTGGATATTGGGCTGGAGTCTCTCCTCCGAAACGCTAGCTGGTTTAGAAGCTAAACAGGTTTGGTTCAGAGGTTTTATGAATTGTTCCAGTTTGTTTTCAAAAAGCTGATCTCTGTGGGACGCCGTCCCGAGCAGGGGAGCAGGGGAACAGGGTTCCACTTTGTGGAATGCACTGTTTTCTGCCGAAGCTGGGCCCCTCCATCAGCATCTGCAATGATTTAGGCACTGCTTATCTCTGCCAGGGGATATAGGATTCTAATTGGAGATGTGGGAGGGGGGAAAATGGCTAGGGGCACAGAGAAAGGATGGAATCCACAGGCAAAGAGAAATTTCCAGCACTAGATGTTTTACCTGCCTTTTTCCCCACTGCCGCCAAAACATGGCAGTCTAAGTATTCTTTGTTCAACACCTATGTTTTAAAAATTCCAAATTAAGTTCCCCTACTCCCTCCCTCCAACTAGTCTCTCTCTCTCTCTCTCTCACACACACACACACACACACACACACACACATCCTTTTAACTTGTTAAGTTTGAAAGATGATGATATATACAACCAATGTGCTTTGCCAGTCTGCACGGTGAAGGCCAAGATTAATGCAGAAGGTTGGTGCAACGGTGCCGCAGAGCAGCGTGATCAGAATACAAGATGGAGCAGAGGGGGAAAGGCCAAGAAATATGTCTGTGCTTGGAGTTTACACAAGTCTCCTTAGCAACTTGTCTGAATTTATTTTTCCCTTAATGTGTGTGGGTTTCTTCCAAACCCTGAGTGAAATGGGAGTTGAATTTTTAACCGACCACTGTTTCTCTGCTACGAGCGAATTGTTTCAGTTGGTTAGCGAGGCTTTCTCTCCCTTACCAGCTCCTTCCCACCCGAACCCCTCCCCCGTGTAGGTAGCTCTGATCCTTTGCATTGTGACTTTCTGGACTGTTGGTAGCTTTCCAGAAATTCACATCTCCGTGGGGGAATGATGGAGCCTGTTTCTGATGGCCACAGCTGTGCGGATTTCTGCTGCAGCGTCGCGGCTTCTAGTGCATGCTTTTGTGTGTGGCATATGTGTAAATGTGCCTGTTTATACGCCCGTGTGTTGTAAAATAGGGAGGAACAGCGCTCTCTTCCTCTTGACTATTTCTTTTCTTTTTCTGTCTTGCTCTTCTCCCTTTCTATCTCTCATCACCCCCTCAACACACACACACATACACACACACGGTCCTGTAATTCTAATTACAGAATATAAAGCTATTAGGAAAAAAACTGACTTTTAGGAATCTGGTGTGTTGGATTTTACGTGACCGGGCTTGCTTCAGGCCAGACAACCATAAATACTGCAGTGGTTTTACCTAAAATTGCTTTACCTTGAAATAACTCTAGGGGAGTAGAGTTGCTGCCTCATTGGAGCCGACGTTGAATATAAATCTTAATATTTTTCCTTCTTGCATCCTCCCCTTTGAGATTCAGGGGAAAAAAGAAACCTAGCCAAAAAACGTTAAGGTTTGATTTTGGCTCTTTTACAAACAGATGTTGCTTGTCATTTTGTTGTTGTTAAGCAGGCACCAGATTGGATCAAGTGGCAGTGTGTGTGCATGCGTGTGTGTGTGTGTCTGTGTGTGTGAAAGGGAGAGAAAGAGAAGAAAGAGGGAGGGTAGGGGAGAGAGAAAGGGGTTTGGGGGAGAGAGAAAAAGAGTTGGGGGTAGATAGAGGGCTGGAAGGCAAAAACAGATCAATTTGGGGAAAAGTTGAGAGCAAAAAGTAGGTAATATAGATTAATACCTTTATTCTTTCCAAACTTCAATTTGGCAGAGACTATATAAAATCATACTCTGTTTGGTAGTTTGTTGTTGTTCCAGAGAAAGAGGGAAATGTGGAACTTAGTAGATGTGGAGAGCCCTAGGTGAGAAAAGCCGGCCTCTCCTGGGCTGGAAGGCAGGGAGAGGGTTGGTAGGCTGTTCAGATACTCCCCTAAGCAACTCCGAACCTGGAGTAGGGTGAAGGTCTTTCTGTCTCAGCGGAACTTAGTTTCTTGCGTTTGATGGTTGCTTCTTTTTGTAAGTATCCTTGTGGAGGTTCCAGGCTGTTTTGTACTTTTCCCAAAATAAGAATCCCATTGTTATACAATCAAGGCTCTAAGGAAATACTGACTCTTTATGTATTGCATATCTCTTTTCTTGCGGGATCCCAGTGATTTAATCCTCAATTCTCTCCTAAGCCACCCTGTACCCTCACTTAATTCGTAGCTTTCTAATCTAATTGTGGTATAGTTTCTCAAGAGCAAAACGTAGGTTTGAATATCAAAGTGTTAATGTTGGCTGGTATGTAGGAAGCCTTGTTCATATAGGCTTCTAGGAAGCATATAGTTAATTTATATTAAAGAAATGAAAGACATCTAATTTTTAAAATATATATCTTATGTTTCCATATCAGAATCAGAGTCTTCTATTTTTTTAATTTTAATTCTTTTAAAAACCTTCCTGGCTTTATTAACAATATAGCTAGAAAGGAAGTTGTAGGCTGGCATCATTGTTTGCATTTTAGAAAGGAATGAAAATTGTCATCCTGAGCAAACTTCTTGCTTTCAAAAGTGAAAGTAGTCTCCTTAGCCAGCTGCTCACGAAACAACTTGTTACTGGCAGCCTCTTAGTCTTTTGTTTCATCGGGTTTGTCAAAAGCAAATTTGCCTCCAATTTCTCACTCTGAAATAGTTGATCTCTGTTATACATCTGTTGTAAGTGAACATTTAGTGGGTTTAAGATTGTTTTTAAATTATGGAAAAAAAGCCCACTACTCCGATAATCTGAGGGCATCTTTTGTTTTAGTCCAATCTGTCTTATTCTATCATGCCATTTTTCATGTCTTTGTTCTTTAGTCGACCTAGCCACGCTTTCATTTTTCATTTTACATAAAATATTTATTTTTTTAATACGGGGGTGTAGTGGTAGGAAGATTATAAATATCAATTTCTAATTTTCCCTTTGCCTGAGAGGAACACGAAAACCATGGCGTTGCTTTGCCAGTCTCCTCCCTCCTCTACTTCCTTCTGGTCAGTTTTTCCTGGGTAGAGAAGGATTAATTCTACCTAAGCTAGCTGGCTGTGGTGCTGGAAGCCTCTGCACTGTGTGCTGGAGAGACGATCCCGCCCTGGGGTCTGGTATCCTGGTGGCAGTGTCGCAGGTGGATAACGCGTGAGGTGATGCATGGCACCAGTGAATCACTCTTGGAGCAGCAATTGCTGGATGTGACTCTTTTGTTGAGGTGATTGGATCTTTCTACAAAAAGCAAGGGCTGCAGAGGGTGAAAGAAAAGACATCAGGAAAACTGGAAGACCACAGGAGACCAAAGATTAGCTGTCTCCCCTCTTCATGATGTCGGGGTGAATGCCAAAGGGTAGATTTGAGATTTCTTTCTCTCTTCGTTCCTTCTTTCTTTCTTTTTCTTTCTTTATTTCTCTCTCTCTCTCTTACTTTTTGTTTCATTCTCTTTCTTTTCTTTCTTTTTCTCTCTCTGTCTCTTGGTTTCTCTTTTTCTTTTTCTCCCTCTGTCTCTTTCTCTCTCTCTTTTTCTCTCTGTCTCCCTCTTTGCCTCTTTGTCTCCTTCCTTTCTCTCTCTTTCTTTCTTTACTTTATAAAAAGTTGCTCTATCCCCTCAGGACAAAGGAGGTCTGCTGAGATTCTGCACATCTTTAAAAAAGGAGGGTGGAGGGCAGGGAATCTTCCTGTTGGTGTCGTTCTGCTGACATCACCATGGATTTGGTGTTCAAGTCCACGGCCAGGCAAAACTCAAATACATTTTCCCTTTTGCAAGCAGCTGCACAGTGAGTTTGCCTTCCATTAGTAAAGGAACAATGAAGGAAAAGCAAACCCTGCGTCTAAAACATGGCCAATGAAAGAACGTTGGAATGGAAGCCAAGAATCCTGCTGTGGTGGAAGGGGGATAGACTCATGAATCCACCACAATCAGATATTTTGCTTCTTTTTAACAGCCCCAACAGCAGAGAGAAATAATCACTCCCGAATCATTTCAGAATCAAAAAGTTAAAACGATGTCTCAATGATGCTACATCGTGCCAGGTAACGATTGCCCAACTTGATTATACCTTAACCATTCTTAATTATTGATAGCCTATCTCTTAATCATGTTTAGCAAATGAGTGGTTTGGTATAAAACATTGGAATTTGGGAGTATTCCGAGACTTCACATTCCTATTTGATCATTTTTCTGGTAAAATCGTTCTCAAGGTCTGTCGGTAGCCAGGGAAATTCCAGGAAAAAATGTGAAAGTGACTTATTTGCAGAATCTTTATATCATGTATAGTTCTGGAAGTGAAGTAAACGTAATGCTGCCCGTATTTTCTAAAATTACTTTTATTCCAGTTTTTGGTGTTCCTTTTCACTCTCGTTCTGGCATTAATTCTAATTTAGCTTTACAAAAGAATTGAGTGACAAAAAGAAACCAAACAAAAAACAAGCAAAGAATCTTGATCTATTTAAAATAATTTTATTTTCCAGACACAGGCGAATGGTTTGAAGATATTGGCCTAGCAAGATGGCAACGGGTTTGAAAAATAGGATTCATAAGAGGTTACTTTTTTCAGGTAATGGTATTTTCCTATAATTTCCCCCAAACCTTTCATTTCCTCAAGTATGGCAGATTTTTAGGGCATGCTTGATGAATTAATTATGAAGAATAACTGCATTTTAAACTTGATTTTTAAAAATAGCAACCAGTTTTATAATATTCGTGGCCAATGAGTAGAGCAGCCATGGCATTTGATTCTTCGGAGTTTGGAAAATTTTTTGAAAGTTATTGCTTAACATTGCTTATCTCTTTTGACAATGATTTAGGCAGAACTCATTTGAAACTATCGGGCACTATGCTTAAACTCTATGACTATCTTGGGTAATTGAATTTAAAAATATAAGTATTAGAGGATTGTCTCTAAAAAGCCTACCATGTGCTCTGAATTCCTGGAAGATAGGCCTATATAAATTGCATAATAACAAATTGATGTTTTAACTTTTATCCTAGCTTTGTAATACTATATGGCATTTTATGGAACTATCCTCATACATATGCAGTGACTGAGATTTGAGCTCAGCTATCATGATGTAGGTAGTTTTCTTTTAGTGTTATTGAAGGACTTTGTGCCACTTAAAAATGTTTAATAACATAAATGATACATTTTCTTGATAAATTACCTTACACTGCTTTTGCCATTGTTTATAGGCATTAGCCTACATTTCCAACTTAATTATTAGTATTACCATCTAAGAGAGCCCAACAGAATCTTGGTTAATAAAGCAAGCCAAAATTTCCTCTGAAAAGAACCCTTATTTTTCTCCTCAACATAAAGAAGGTTCTTGAAAGAGACATCCAATTAATATTTTGGGGAAAATATCTACTCCCAAATGAACCGTTTTTCTACTAGGTCAGTATTTGATTTTCTTTTTTTTTCTGCAGCCTAGGCATCTTCTGATTTCTCTTTTATTTTCTGAAATTAAAACTGTATTGTTTGGAAGCTAACACTACAAACCATTTGGAATGAATAACTTCTCTCTGTCCTATATTTGCCAAAAAAAAAAAAGATACAGAAATGCCCTCAATTGAAACACAGCATTGAGCTCCTTTCTGTGGACTTCGAGAGTGCAAATTGATGAAGTTGGTGCTACTTCGATGTAAATGTAACGCTTTGACAGATCTTCGTCCATCGCCAACCAATATTGCATTCTCTCTTTTTAATAAACATGATAATAACAATTAGCTCTCATCACTTTGGGAGGCTGGACCTATTCCTTTCCATTTTAGTAAGAGTTCCTATGTCACATATATTCCAGAAATCTAGCAGTGTTCAAAGTACCCATCCTCAAATACTTCTGGCTCCAGGCCTTGGTCAGAGAGATCAAAGGAAAATAAGAGACTTGAAGTTTATTTTAAAATCTTTTCTTTTAGAAAGGAAATGAACATTTTTAAATAAAATAAAGTAAAGACCATTTTGAGGTGACTGGTTTGGATCCTACTTACTTCCACTTGCTGTTGTTGCTTCTTTGGATCTAAAAGTCAAGCCATGGAGCTGCAACTAAATTCTCGGTTTTGGCAACCTTCGCAGCGCCAGCCGGCTCCAAGCAATTGTACCCACGGCTCAGTCAGGGTGAAACAGGCGACAACGAAGCGTCAATGAACAGTTGCATCTCGGTCCCTATTCATCCTATTGTTGGCTTCCTGGTCTCTTGCTTTCACCTTTTGCCTTTGTGTACACAAGGGCCTGCTCTTTTCTCTGAATAATTCCCAAATTCAGCTCTGTCTTTTTTGTTATTGGTAGAGTCTCCCAGATTCTTGAGAAAGGAATGAATGTTCATATGTTGAGGCAAAGGAGATACATTTTTTGAGAGCCGGAATCTATAGACACTGCTAACAAAAATTGAAAAGGTCTCTTTTTAGGTCCTGCAAAGAGATGGAGGCATATTTTTTCCCAATGTCTAGAAAGGGGGATTATTTCGCTCTCCTCATGTGTCCTTGAAGTGCTTATGATTAAGACTGTCTTCAATAAAATTCACAAAAGAGGCTATTAATGAAAGTTCATTGTCTTGGATGTTCCATTCTTACATGTAGAACATTGGTTTTGAGGAAAGGAAGTTATGTTGACAAATGAAATACTTTTATAAGAAGGCCTCAGAAACATTCATTGCTACATCCTTGAACAGTTTTCGGGGAAGCAATTATACAATTTCTTTTCTGGTTCAAATTTTATAAAATATGCCCAACTTGCTAATTATTGGTGTTTGGACCAATAATGTGCGGGGGTCTGAGGGTGGAAACGTAAATACAAACTTTTCCTGAAGATGAATTTTTCAATTTAACCTAGCTGGAAATCTCATCTAGAGTAGTTTTCAGAAGATACTTGCAAGCCTCTTGGACGTGCCGGCTAGTTTATTCCAGCTGTTTTCCAGAATTCAAATAGGGAAGGAAAATCTCACCATCCTTTTTCATGTAATTACAGGTATTTAAAAAGATGAACTTGCATTTAGGCTCTCATGTTTTCCTCTCTCTCTCTGCCGACAGTTTAAAGAATTTTCTTTATTCTGCTGATTTTCCATACTGATATCACTTTGCCCAGATTGTGTGTTAAGGACTGAATAAATGAGTCTTCCATAGTGTTAAATAGTAAATGACGAGGTTTACCTAAAGCCCATTGTACCTGTAGAGTAAGTGAAAACAAAGGGAGATATGTTGGGGAGAACCTAGAAGATACAGGATGAAGTCTTTCCATTTCTGGCATAAAACGATAGAATGGCAGAATCTTTGGTTGGACTAATGGTTTTAACGTTTTATTTTCAGACATGTCAAACCCCCAAACGAGAGAAGATACCGAGGCCTGTTGCCACAAACCCGTAGATCCGAACTTGTGGTGATAGTCCACACAAGCTTGTGTCTATAGGTCTGTGTCTGTTAGGCAATCTCACAGACCGCGGGCTGTGGCTGTATGCCACTCAATATCCCTTCAAATGCCTTATTCTTCCTTTCTTCTCCTTATTTTCCTCTGTGAGTGGTAGAAATGGAAACAGGAGCTGGTATGGAGGAAGGAGACCTTTTGTTCCGAAATGGATGAAGGTCTTCAATGATTAATTTATAGGCTTGCCTTCAATTTCCTTATCTCTTATAACTACTCTCAGCTATCAAATTAAGAGACTCGGCTTGCAGGTGAGGCAGCAAGAATTTCGGTGACTCAGACAACTTACTGTTGAGTGATGAGTAAATTGATACATAAATAAGGGTTTGTTTTGTTTTCTGTAAGCCTGACTAATTGTTCTCAAAGTTATTATGATCTTTTTTGGAAACTGACAGAGACGTGTTTACAAGACCTATTTCACTCTGGTTTGAGTTGTACCTTGTAGCAATTCGTCCTCACCCATTGTTCTCCATGCACAGTCAAATCAGTCCTTATCTTTAAAAATAAAATTAACGGGAGGAATGGATGTGCTTAACTATTTATGCGTCTATAAATACCCAGCACTGTAAGAAAAAGAACTTTTTATAAAAAAGAAATAGCCTGTTGAAATCCAACTTCATACTTGGCCAGAGCTGTTTTATAAGTCTTCACCATGTTTAAAAGGCTGGAATGAAAATAATTTTATCCCCTTGCCTCTTAAATGTCACCATTGTGCCAGGATTGGAAAGCCAAACTGACTACAGATCAAAGCAAAACTGGCTATATTTGTCTCATTCCAACAATGTGAGCTGAAGAGTCTGTAAACAGAACCCAGGGTGAAAAGTTGATCAGATTTGGATAACTCTTAAACTTTTGCATTCCCTTTTGGTCAAACATAGGGCCAAGAATTCTCTCTTTTTTGGGGGGGGAGGGGCAGCCTATTCTAACAAAAAGAGTTCAATATGAAGTAGTTATTGAGTTAACATCAGCAAGAAGTTTGAAATTCAAATAGATACACTTTATTTCATTAAATGCTGTTTCCTTTTAAGAGCCACACTATTCAGAGATACCTAGAACTCTTTCTTCTATGAAGTATATAAAAATGAAATTTTGTAGGAATTAGGAAGGCCCAGATAGAGATCACAAACGTTTGAAGGGTAGACTCAAGCTCTGTAAATGCTGCACCCAGAGAATATTGTGTGTATGCATTTCCTTTGCGTTTGCTCTGCATAGTATAGAGGAGGGTTGTCTATACATCTCAATGTCCAGCTTGCCGAGAAATCATTGCTTTATTATGGAATGATGGAACATTACATCCAGAAGAGAAAGACTGTCCCCATTGGTGTGTATCATGTATTATTGTTTGCCCAAGGCCTTTAACCACCCATTAAGCAAACAATCTACTTGGTTGGTTTTACATGCCTCTTTGAAGTGGTTGACTTAGAACGGATAAGCTGCTAGCAGATTAAACTTGTACCTTCCCTGGATAAACACCTGTGTTTGATAAAGACAAAATCACATCTCTACTCATCATCCCTTTAACCTGCTGTTAAGTGTGTGACCAGTGGAACCAATGCAGTTCATGAATCCAAGGGGACACTGAGCTGCCTGTATTCCCTGTACAGGAACAACACAAAGACTGCTGGATGGCCAGTAGGTGACTGCCAGGTGGTTTCTTTTAAGGAGGTTTTTTAAACCCATTACCCCAAGAAAAAGATTATGCAGAACAGTCAATCTTTTCAAAGTTTCTAAAAGAACTAAGACATTATTATTTGATTTACCTGGCTAGAAAATATTCTAGTGGAAAGCCCAAAACCCCTGGACACTGGCCACAAGAAACAGGATATTAAATATTTTACATGATGATGAAATTCAGTATTTTTCCCTTCTTCCATGTTCATGAATGAATGGTTCTGTGGATATTAATTATTCTCTTGGGGCTCCCTCAGAGTGGACCACATATTCTGCAGGAAGCTGAAGAAAGTAAAATAATTTCAGGTTTCCCCAGAAAGACTCTAAAAATATATACTTAGTAGTCATTATTGCAGTAGTTTTTACAAGTTTTATTAAAATTCTCAAATCACCACTATCAAAATACATTTATTAAGCTGTAACACCAGGATATAGTTTAGATTTGTTTTTTTTAAACAGAAAAA